CCAAATGGACTGACTAGGTCATGGCCAACCTTGAGCAGACCTTCGCAAAACTCCGAGCAAACGACAATAAGCTCAACCCCGAGAAATGCATTTTTAGGGTCCCAAGGGGTATGCTGCTGGGCTTCATCGTCTCTGAGCGTGGCATCAAATCCAACCCGGAGAAGATCTCGGCCATCACAAGGATGGGCCTGATTCAGAACATAAAGGGGGTACAGCGAGTTATAGGATGCCTCGGTGTGCTCAGCCGCTTCATCCCGTGCCTCAGCGAATGAGGTCGGCCCCTCTATCGGCTCCTAAGGAAGGCCGGCTGTTTTGAATGGACGCCCGAGGCCCAGGAGGCACTTGACGTCTTTAAGCAGCTTTTGATGAAGGCCCCGATCCTAGTCCCTCTGACCGATTGAAAACCACTTCTGCTCTACATTGTGGCCACCACACAAGTGGTTAGCGCCGCCCTGGTGGTGGAGCGAGAAGAAGAGGGTCACGCCCTCAAAGTGCAGTGTCCCATTTTCTTCATTAGCGAGGTCTTATCTGATTCCAAGACCTGCTACCCCCAAATCCAGAAACTCTTGTACGCCATCCTCATCGCCAAAAGGAAGCTACGCCACTACTTTGAGTCACATCCGGTGATGGTCATAACATCCTTCCCTCTCGGAGAGGTCATCCAAAACCAGGATGCCACGGGAAGAATTGCGAAGTGCGCACTCGAGCTGATGGGTCAAGGCATTTCGTAAGCCCCGGACGGCTATCAAGTCCCAAGTGCTGGCTAATTTCGTTGTAGAATGGACCGAGGTCCAAATGCCACCAGCAGTCATCGACCAGGAGTACTGATGTAGAAAGGCGCCGGCATGGGGTTGGTCTTCATTTCGCCCCTTGGGGTACGCATGAGGTACATGGTTCACATCCACTTCCCCTCATCCAACAATGTGGCTGAATATGAGGCGCTCATCAATGGTCTGCGCATCGCCATCGAGTTGGGCATCCGACGCCTCGATGTCCGGGGCGACTCCTAGCTGGTCATCGACCAAGTCACGAAGGAGTCGAGCTGCCACAATGCCAAGATGACTGCATACTACTGAGAGGTCCACCAGCTGGAGGAAAAATTTGATGGCCTCGAGCTTAATCACATCTCGAGGCATCTCAACAAGGCGGCCGACACGCTGGCAAAAGCAGCGTCCGGCCGAGAGCCGGTGCCAATGGGCATCTTCGCCAGTGATCAACACAAGCCCTTGGTCCGCTATGAGGAGCCAGAACGAGCCGATGATGGGCCCCCTACCCTAGGCTCGGGGGCTGACCAGCCGTCGGCTCCATCCGACCCTGAGATCATGGAGCTTAATGAGGATCCAGCGACAGAGCCTGACCCTCTTGTCGACTAGAGGACGCCTTACCTCAACTACCTCCTCCATGAAGTGCTGCCAGCAGACAAGATGGAAGCTCGGCGGCTCACGCATCGCGCCAAGTCTTTTGTTCTTGCTGAGGGTGAACTCTACAAGCGAAGCCACATCGGGATCCTATAGCACTGCATCCCCCTCGAACAGGAGAAGCAGTTGCTGAGCGATATCCACGGTGGAGTCTGCGGTCACCATGCCGTGCCTAGAACCCTTGTCAGAAATGCATTCCGACAAGGCTTCTACTGGCTGACCACAGTAGCCGACGCCGAACAGATTGTGCGTACCTACGAAGGGTGTCAGTACTATGCTCGGTAGACCCACCTATCGGCCCAAGCACTCCAAACGATCCCCATCATGTGGCCATTCGTGGTCTAGGGGCTCAATCTGGTCGGACCACTCAAAAGGGCACCTAGGGGCTATACCCACTTGCTTATCACCGTAGACAAGTTTATAAAGTGGATAGAGGCTTGGTCGATCTTCGCGATCAAGTCCGAGCAAGCTGTGTTGTTCTTCCTCGACATCATCCATCACTTTGGAGTCCCGAACTCCATCATCACAGACAACGACACGTAGTTCACCGGAAAGAAGTTCCTCTGATTCTATGATGAATACCACATCCGCGTCGATTGGGCCACCGTGGTGCACCCCTGCATGAACGGGCAGGTTGAGCGCGCGAACGGCATGGTCCTACAAGGTCTCAAGACTAGGATCTTCAATTGATTGAACAAGTTTGGCGGATGATGGGTCACGGAGCTTCCCGCGGTACTCTAGAGCCTGAGGATGACCCCTAGCCAGGCCACTGGCTACACACCATTCTTCATGGTCTACGGCTCCGAGGCCATCCTCCGGACCGACCTCGACTATGGAGCACTGAGGGTCAGGGCGTACGACGAACATAGAGCCGAGGCGTCCCTCGAGGATGCCATGGACCAGCTAGATGAAGCGCGCGACGTCGCCCTCCTCCACTCAGCCAAGTACTAGCAAGCGTTGCGCCTGTACCACAACTATCGAGTGCGGGGTCGGGCCTTCAACGTCGGAGACCTGGTACTCCATCTTGTCCAGAACAACAAGAACCGCCACAAGCTCTCTTTCCTGACCATAGGCCACATATCTAGGGCCGCTGGCGGGTCGCGTCGTCCCTCTCCTTCCTGACCATGGCGGCCTCCTCCTCGTCCCTTCGTGACCTCACCAATAGGGCCTCAAATGCCTTCTCGACCTCGTCAGCGTGCCGATGGGCCTTGGCCACCCGCAACCAAAGACTGTCCACCTCCTCGGCGAGGGAGTCAGCTTGGCCACCCTCTGCTGGACGGCAACAAGCTAAGCGGTTACCTCCCCGCATAGCCACGCCTCCTCGATGAGGCGGTCCTAGGTTTCCTTCTGTCCATGAAGGAACCGAGACTTCCCCCGACTACGAGCGATGAGGGACTGAAAGGAGGCAATGGTTAGAATACAAAAAAATATGGAGAAAGGAAAGGGCGAGAAGCAGGATCAAGCAAATACCCAGCCGGTGGGAACGACAATGTCGTGCAAGGCTCCCTTGGCATGGTCCAAGGCTTTGAGCACGGACGTGATCCCCACATCAAGGCTCTCCCGCTCCATGCTGTCGACGGCGGCGTCAAGGGTGAAAAGCGTCAACACCGGCTCCTACGGATTTGTCCACCGGAGCAGGGGCTCGCCCCGCTTAGGCAAGTCGCTACCCACCGACGTTAGGGCCAGGGATCTTAATTGGTCGTCCTTTGATCTGGTCACGCTTTAAATCTTATAATTGATGGCTTAATTCCGCTAGATCGGCTGTTTTATCTCTATTCCAATCAAATATAGTATGCATCCAAAGACATGTTTCAATCTTGAATAAACTCACTAGTTAATGAGATCTAATCTAATAACACTACCATAGCTGCATCGATCCGGTCGAACATCACTGGTAAGACTTTAGATTAGAAATTATCGATTGGTGGTCTTATTCATGATCAAGATATGTACTCTATTTGTTTGCTATGACTGCATCGGCTATTTTAGCTAATTTGCCTATACTCTCACGCATATAACATGTTTTCATGAATCTGTCAACATATAGATAGTTTTATAGATTCGTTGACTTTAGTTTGTTATCATTATCATAGCTGCATCGATCCGATCGAACCTCACTGTTGATGATAATAGATTAGATTCAAACTGTTTATAGATTTATTTATATTAGACAGTCAATTTGTTCGCATGTGATACTCTTTTCATCAAACTTATCGGCTCGACGCTTTATATCGATCATGTTCCATTTAGCCGATGATGCTTTCTTATATCGCTTCTTTGCTGATTATCAATTCTCTAATCGATCAATGACATCAATCGATTATTTGGTCATATATATTGGAATTTTAAGGAAAGATCTTTTGATTTTGTATTTGGGTGTATTATACTTGTTTTTGTCTAGATTAATGAGTCGTCATAAATCTGCTATAATCCATGAGCATCGGTTATTTTGATTCATATCATTATCATTTAATATTAGCCGATAATTCTTGATTTAAAGATCTTCATTTCATAGATACGTCAGATATCGACTATTTAGTCGATAGTCTTATTGAATCGGCTATCTAGCTGTACATTTGGGACTGTCTGGTGCAACACCGACATGTTCCACCTCAAATTACTGATAAGATCTTCTCTCATTGTCAATTGCAAGTCAAATTGACTGGCACGTCGTTGGGTTTCAAAATCGACTGGTTCTGTATTGAAGCCAAGCAGATCTCTGGTCTCGGTCACTCAGATCCTCCGACTTGCTATGTATTGATCACATCGCCATATTTTTGTGTCAACAATATCTATATCTATATCTATATAATTGACATCTGTATCTATATTTATATCTATATAATCTATATGTAAATGTATATCCATATCTATATATTTTTTGCGAACATCTATATATATATCTATATCCGTATTCCATATATCTTATAATAATCCATCTCTGAGGCTACTGCTTCGACCCTTCCAGTCACACAATCCACTCTGAGGCTGAGCCGTCACTTTCTCGGCGTCTCTAGGCTGGTGTTTCTTGTAACAGAAATCCAATCTTTAGCATACCACAATCAGACACGGTAACACTCTCTCACCAGCCACCTGGGCTTCAACCAATGCCTGTCCAGCAACAAAAATGCTCCAACCAAAAAATATCATATCTATATGTCCCTTCTTCATTTAGTTTATTCGCTTGTTGGTTTCAGTCAGTCCAAACTCAGCTAGCCAACTCCTCTTTCAAAAAACTAACATCAGCCAGTTCAAATCAACACTAACACCGACGAGCGAACGGGATTGTATTATTATAGTACCATTATATTACATGTGAGGGTTCTGGGGGGAGTTGCCACTTGTCAGGCCTCCCCTGAGGTTCTATTTAACCCCCTCGTCTCCACCTCCATTCCAGACTAAAAACTTCTAAATGCCCAGCGCCTGAGCCTGCCTCCACTCTTGGCCCCCTGGCCTGGCACCACACTAGCCTAGTGAGTACTGAGTAGTGCAGCAGCAGTCTTGCTTGCTCGGTTGCTCCTACCTATCCTGCACTGCACAGGAGCAGCAGAGCCTAGGACCGTCGGCGAAAGGGGAGCGGCCATGAAGTACGTGCTGGTGACCGGAGGGGTGGTGAGCGGCCTCGGCAAGGGCGTGACGGCCAGCAGCATCGGCGTCGTGCTCAAGGCCTGCGGCCTCCGCGTTACCACCATCAAGATCGGTAGCCATTCCTTTCCTTCCCGGCTTCCTCCCCGCAGCTCGCTTCCTGGCGATTTCTTTTTTCTGTTGGGCGGGGGTGGCTTTGGCGTTTCCGCGCGAAAACGAAAAGAAAAAAAACTGCTTCCGGCGGAGAATCCGGAAAAAAGGGCGGATTTTTCGGTGGAAAGGCCGCCCGGTCTGCGTGATCTCGTTCTGCCGTCTCTTTGCTGCCCAGAGCCCAGAGCCCGGAGCCCAGGCCCGGACGCTCCCTTTTTGTCGCTTCGGCTGTGCAACAAGAGTGCTGTTTGGGGCAAAGGAGGCAGCATTTTCCGGATAACTCAGAGCTGTCTGGCCGTCTGGGCGGGGCGTGCGATGGCCGCGTGGCAACCCCGGCCTCGTCTGAATGCGTTTGGTTGTTTGTTCGTAGCCGTCTTAATTAAGCCGAAATGAAATGCGCTCTCAAATTTGGTTCAACTGCCAAACGACCTGTTTCCTGCTGCAATGGCTGCAGCTTTTAAACTCTTCGTTATCAAAACGGCCTCAGACGCGTGCATGTTTGCTTTCCTTTTACTGCCTTGAAATTCGTTGAACAAAATATACTGTCAAATGAGAGATTCAGACTCCTATTGTCGAATTTGTTGGAAGCTTTTGCTCTTCTTTTTTATGAGAGTGCAGGAAGCTTTTGCTCATTGTTGTTGTTTAGCCTTGTATAGGTCTGTTACTTCTGTACTGTACATATATGCTAATATAAGCTTCAGCGAGCAGTGAGCTGCAATCATCTTGTTCAGTACCTTGGATCGTGCACTTCGTGAGTCATGACACCATGTTTTCGGTGATTAAGAGTTTATTCTTTTGGATGCTTTTGTCTCTTTTGGTAAATCAAGTGTTCAACAACATTCGTTTTGGATGTCGAGTACTCGTTGTTTTAACGGAATCTCAACTTGGTGTCACGATCTTAGTTCCTTCAAAGAGACGGAATCCCCAGTAGTTTAGGTCAATTTTGTCACCTCAAGCATTAAATTTCTTTTGACATATTTCCGTGCCGTTTCCTGAAGGAAGGTATTCATTTTGCTCCATTTGATGAGTGTGCAAGTACGGATTTCCAAAGTGGTTGGGAACTTGTGCCTTTTTTTTTTTTTTGCTCCGTCTTAGTTCATTGAAGAATTTAGTTGTAAGGTTTCTGTCTATACTGAAAGTTGGTGAAGGGTTTAAGAAACCATTTAGTTTTGTTAGTTAATGTTACCTGCTGTCCGTAATTTCTTTTTTTTTCTTTTGAAAAAACTGGTAGGAGGTCTGCCTCTCAATTAAGGAAGCTGTCCGTAATTTCTTATGGCTGTTCATTTGTGACTACCCTCTGCAGATCCATACCTCAACACTGATGCTGGAACCATGTCTCCATTCGAGCATGGGGAGGTGTTTGTTTTGGACGATGGTGGAGAGGTAACTAACTACAAGCTGGTCCTGCATATCCTTCCGTGTCCCTCTCTTAACAGAAAAAACACTGTTGTTGGTAGCATCATGGATGACCTCTCCGCCGACATAGTCTTCAGTAGCCCTCCTACAATGGGTACTGTGTGGATATATCTTTCCGGCTAATAGGTCCATTCTTTTATTTTTCTTGAAGGTGGACTTGGACCTTGGAAATTACGAGCGTTTTCTGGATATCAAATTGACCCGTGACAACAATATAACCACAGGAAAGATCTATCAGGTAATTGGACAGATGAGCCCTAATCCATGTGCAACTAGAAACTGCTGTGGAGTATGGCGCTATCAAGTCAAAAGTTTGCTTTTATACTTCCCAATATTTTTTCTTAAAAAGGGAGAAAGTTGTTTTTCCCCTTTTTTTACTTTGAATTAACAAACCTGCGGCATTCAGTGGCTATCTGCAAGTCATTGAGCGTTTGATTGACTGCATGCACATGGAACCCACAAATCTTTATTGAGTCACTTTACGTTTCATCGTAAGATCCACTGCAGTACAATTATGCATGTGCAGAATCATCCGGGCCTCTAGCCTGCCACCGTTGTCGGAAGCAGCCGAAAAAGATTCAGCCTGCCACATGGTGGATTAATTGTGGAGTTGATGCCCTGTTGGCTGTTTCTGACAATTGGTGCATAAATAATCTTTCTTCTATTGACCACCTGAATTTTGTATGGGATGCAAAAGTAAAATAGGTAACTAGGTCTGAAACTACAGTTGAAACAAACACTCCATTGGAGCTAACCGTTATGTTGCTATTGCAAGTTAGGCCCCGTTTAGATTCCAAAAAATTTTGCGCAGTACACGTCACATCGAATCTTGCGGCATACATGCATGGAGTACTAAATGTAGACGAAAAAAAACTAATTGCACAGTTGGGTGAGAAATCGCGAGACGAAACTTTTGAACCTAATTAGTTCATAATTAGACACTAATTGTCAAATACAAACGAAAGTGGTATAGTAGCCAAAATCCAAAAAATTTTGGATCTAAACGGGGCCTTAGCAGGACGAAAAATATTGTGCCTATTTACTACATTATCATGTGATCTCCTGTCGCTTGTGCACACTCCAACTCTTCTCGGACTTGACACCACTGTACCTGTTGCCTGCTGGTTTCTGTCATCTGTAATTTAACATCAGTTTTCTTTGTAATGCTCGAATCAGGCTGTCATTAACAAAGAAAGGAGAGGTGACTACCTAGGAAAAACCGTCCAGGTGGGTGATCAGTATGTAGTGGAAACATAATTATTGACAGACGTGGCTAAACCTGTATTCATTTCCACTATCAGGTTGTGCCACATATTACAGATGAAATACAAGATTGGATTGAACGCATTGCAATGATTCCAGTTGACGGCAAAGAAGGACCTCCTGATGTTTGTGTCATTGAACTTGGGGGCACTATAGGTGAAGATAATAATTCTATTATTGGATAAATAAAAGCATTACATTGTTCAAATACCTAGATTAGTTTATTTTTGCTTAATTGTTCCCATAGTTGTGTAAGTATGCCGGTGCAGGGGACAATCTTTTTGCCGCATAATGACAGTGGCATTCTTGATGCAGGGGATATTGAGTCCATGCCTTTCATTGAAGCATTAGGTCAATTTTCATACCGTGTTGGTAAGAAAACTACAGTTCTTTTCTGAGCACGAAACATTGCCTTTTGGCCTGTTCCTTTACTCCTTTTTACAGTTTTTTTTATAGTCTGCTCATTCCTTCTCTGTGCTGTAGGGCCTGGAAACTTCTGTCTCGTTCATGTCAGTCTTGTTCCGGTTCTAAATGTAGTCGGTGAACAGGTAAATTTATCAGTTGCTTACGTATAATTGCAATTTAGCTTGAAGAAAACTAAACTTTGTGTCACTAACACCCAAAACCTTTTAAAATAGAAAAACTATGTTAATTACTTTCATGTAAATATGTAATTGACAACCTGTTACATTTGTGTAGAAAACTAAGCCTACACAGCATAGTGTTCGTGGGCTTAGAGGACTTGGGCTGGCACCAGATATTTTAGCATGTCGCAGTACTGAGGTACACTATACAGTCACCTTTCTCCAGTTTCCAGTTCTTCAAAGCCTCTATGTTACTGTTTGTCAGTGCTTAAAACTGAATCACTAATGGTCATTTCTGTGTTTTCGGTAGCCATTGGAGGAACATGTGAAGGTCAAGCTTTCACAATTTTGTCATGTTCCGGTAATGACAATGCTTCCCATTACAAGGCTGCTTTTGAGTTTTTACCCTTGCTCTTGCCCTGACAATGCAACTTACGTTGCAGATCTCAAATATAGTGAACCTCCATGACGTGACAAACATTTGGCACATCCCCTTGTTGCTAAGGGTAGGGTATTTCTTTTCATATGGAATGTTTACCATAAAATCGAAATTCACATCTTATTTAACCATCCACAATGGAACTTTTTTATAGGACCAGAAGGCCCATGAAGCTATTCTCAAAGTTTTAGAGCTTCAGTAGTATGTGCTTTTGCATTATCACATCAATTGTTCATATAGTAGTTTGAACATTGAAGGAGCACTGCTCATGTGTTCACTTTTTATTACTGCTATGTATGCAGTGATGGAAAAGTACCTCGGGAACCTGAGTTAGGGAAGTGGACTAAAAGAGCCACCAAGTTCGACAAATTGAAAACTCCGGTAGGTTTCTATCATCGTTCTTCCTAGTTTCCAGGAGGGAGGGGTAAAAATTGGCCCTTATGTTTTTGAGCAAACTGTTGGTTAAAGTGAGCACTATTGCATTAACTTTTCAGGTCAAGATTGCCATGGTTGGAAAATACACTGGCCTGTCGGATTCCTACCTGTCTGTCATTAAGGTGACATTATTACTATTTGAATTTAAAAATGAAAACTTGGCCAACTAGGAGGAACTGGGTGGTAATATAAATAAGAAGAAATAGGTGGATAAATTTGAGCTGAAAACGAACATGGGTGGTGGGGGTGTACATCCATACCTCCCACCAACCCAATGTTTGATTATGAAAATTGGTGAAAAAAAACATACTAGACCAAAATGAATCGCTTGTTTTTTTCAGTTCCTCAACCATGACTATACCCTATCTTATTGAAAATAAAGGCCAGAGCAACGTTGAGATGGCACTGCCTTGTAAGTTATATAAATGTACCATAAACATGTGCAAATGCGAATTGAGAAGAGGCTGGAACCTGCTTGAAGAGTTTCAGTTTTCTTACATGATGCTGTTTTCTGTTTGAAGCTTGTTTAAATTGTGGTTATGCTCTTAATTCAATGGATTTGTGCTAGGAATACTCTTTCTTGCTAGCAGAACAAATAACAAAGTTGCACCCCCTGACAATCTTACTCTTCCTGCTGACGAATTTGTCGAAATTAACCTTATTACAGGCTCTTTTGCATGCATCAGTTGCTATGAAAAGAAAACTTGTAGTTGAGTGGGTTCCTTCCTGCGATCTGGAAGATTCTTCAGCTAAAGAGGTCAGTTTTATCATGGGCACTGAATCAGTTCTATTCCTCAATGGAGCTTTTGCTGATGCTTTCGAGATGTGTTGTTTTGTGTAGACCCCTGAAGCCCATAAAAAAGCATGGAAGTTGCTGAAGGTAAGTGCATACATCAAATGGTAGCATGATGCAATTCTTGAAAGTTCTGTACTTCTGTACAGCCGTCTCATGGAATTCCACCTCAGGGTGCAGATGGTGTACTCGTTCCTGGAGGATTTGGAGATAGGGGAGTCCAGGGCAAAATTCTTGCAGCAAAATATGCACGCGAGAATAATGTTCCTTATCTTGGCATTTGCTTGGGAATGCAAATTGCAGTGATTGAGTTTGCCCGTTCGGTGATGAAACTACAAGGTGCCAATAGCACAGAATTCGATCCAGCTACAACATCACCCTGTGTCATCTTCATGCCAGAGGTAGGTTATGTTCACTGTCATGCTTACTTGGTATTATTATCCTTCATTAACCATTCATTTTGAACTGTAAACTTCTGACAACACTTCCACAGGGCTCAAAAACCCAAATGGGAGCGACAATGAGGCTTGGATCGAGGAGAACCTATTTCCATGTCAATGGCTGCAAATCTGCAAAGCTGTAAGAAAACACTAATCCTCATATTCTTCAGTCTAATGCATGATTGTACACTTGATGTGGTGAAATATAACTGTTGTAAATATGGTGAAATATAACTGTTGTAAATATGTCTCAGGTATGGCAATGCCAGCTCTGTAGATGAAAGACATCGCCACAGATACGAGGTACCCTGATTGAATTGTCTATTAGCCATATCGAATAATGTATGTCACTGTTAATCTTTTTGCATAGTGACGATTTTTTTCCCCTCCAGGTGAACCCTGATATGGTCCTGGACTTTGAGAGGGCCGGGCTTCAATTCGTGGGCAAAGATGAAAGTGGAAAACGCATGGGGGTAGGCTTGGAAATTTTCTCGGATGCTGTAGACTTAGATGTACTTTCTAAGAAAGTAATAAGAAACGTTCTCAATCACTTAGTGGTGCTCTGTTGGATGCAGATCATTGAGCTTCCCTCTCACAAGTTTTTCATCGGTGCACAATTCCATCCTGAATTCAAGTCGAGACCAGGAAAGCCATCTCCGCTCTTCTTAGGTAACACGACCCTACTTTGCAAAAATACCATGAGTTTTTTTTTTCTGGTATCCACTCTGCTAATAAGACTGCTACTGCATTTTGAGCATGCCTAAGTGCCTCATCTGAATCAATAATTCATCTCCGCTGACAGGGCTGATAGCCGCGGCATCTGGACAGCTAGAACCTTTGCTTCAACGCAGCAATCTGACAACAATAGCATGTGCTATCAGTAAAGTCCCGAAACTGAAATTATACCCAACTGGACCTGTGAATCCATTGAACAGCTTGGTAAATGGGTACTACCCAAATGGCACTGGCATTCACACCTAGAAGCATAATGCTTAGCGATGGCTTGATTGATATTTGATTTGCTCCTATGGTTTTGCTTGTACCCCCTTTTCATGTTTCTTTTTTCAGTTTGTACTCTGATCAACTGAGAAGGCTAAGATTCAGCAAGCCCCAGCTGCAGCGGCACATGGTTCCGACATTTTAACGAGGAACGTCCTCCAGTCCGTTGAAGCAAACTAGCTATAGGGTGGTGAGGTCTAGTGTGATGTTGCTTTTTTGTTTTGAGGCCTGGAATTAAGGCGGGAAGTGTTTTGGTAGCGTTAGTAGAGCCTGGAATCTCAACTATTTGTACATTATGGAAGAACTTATCTAAGGACTGAATACACAAATGCTTGGCCATGGTTGCTTTGTTCTCGCAATTAACAGCCACACTCAGATGAAGAGTATGAGTGTATAACTGTCTAATTAAAAAATGCAAGCAATATTGTTGTTGTTAATGTTGGTGCCTGTGTTGCCCTAACGCATGGTGTACCTGTTCAAGTATCCAGTGTCAACTCGTATTATCATTTTTTTTCTCGGCTCCGAAATTTTGGAGCTCAAGGCAATAATATGGGTGCCATATCATAACTGCATGCTTTTGATGCTTTGCCTTTTCTAGTTCTGAAGACACAATGGTACTTTATTTATCTAAATACGTACTGCACATTAAGGTATGTATTGTAAATGGAATTTAGAAGAACGAAGGTGTATTTTTCTCTAGAATGGAATAATGAGCTGTAAATGAATACGGTGATGAATTTCATGAACTGTCGGCTCTAGGCTGGGTTTTGTCAGGAAATTCTCCGTCATTCCCTGACCCTGCCAAAGAATTGGTAGATTTTCCTACTGAGATCGCATTAAGTGCCATCGGACATAATAAAAAATAAAATAAGTCCAAGCATAGTACCTACTCAGGAATCACATTGCACTTTTTTTTAAAAGGAAATGAACATGAGCCTTATGATAGTATTCTTATAATCGTTTGTGTAATTGTCACTCCGTTCCAAATCTTAATTCGTTCAGGCTTTTTTTAAGTACATTGTTTTTGCTATGCACCTAGATATAAGCTATGCCTAAATTACGTAATAAAATATATGCATCTAGAAAAAACAGAACAAATTACAATTTGCAATAGAGGGAGGAGCTCATATAGGATACGACATACAATTGGCATGTCCAAAAGGATCTTTTCTCTTTTTTCAAGGCAAAATTCCATGGGTAATTTGTTATACAACGCCATGTAGCACTGTGGAATAACAAATACTTGAGAACGTAATAACTGATAAAACCGTCCACACAAAGCGGCATACTTTCAGAATTCTGCGTTGCAGTCTTGGGGTAAACCAAGCTACATAGCTTAAGGTAGTCTCCAAAATCGATTCACCATCCAGAAAATACACCTATCCATTGTGATAGAGTTAGCTGCAAGAAAAGCACTCTGAACATAGAAGCGCAATATGCTAAAAACGTAAAAAGATAGCCAGAGATCAGAATGTTACGAACATAGAAAAGCAGATGACTGAATCAACACTCAGAAATCATATCAAAGAAGCATAATCCAACAGAAACAAACCTAGGCCAAAAACAGAAAGGAAGAAGAATATAGCCATCTTAACATAAAAAAAATCTACTATCATATCTTATATATTTGTCCTTAAAATTACTTGCCAAATTGGAAAGTTTCTTTGCTCTAAAGATTGACACCAAATTCTTCCAAGGCTATCCTCTTATAATCAAAGACATGTAAAAATGTCACAATTGGGTGATAGGAACTGAAGAATCCTTCACTAACACTCACCGGTAGGCAATTGATTACAGCCAATGCCGCAGATGCATGAAGCAAGCTACTTAAACCATTTTCCAAGATATATGGGATGTCTGCAATGAAAAGTAGAAGTGCCCATCGAGGTCGGTAGTGGGATAACCTAACAGAACGTGCTGATGATGACAGATCACCCACATAAACAAAAGATCCTTCACAAGGACTCTGTCCAAGGTTACTATTTGCGGTATGTGATGATAACAAATTTCCTGCTTTTTGCAAACATCCCAAAGAGTATGGCCTGGCATAGGAGACCTCAATCCATGAAATGCCTGGGGTGAGAACAGGTACCAAGCAGTGCTCATCCTATCACCATTGACCAAATAGACACATATTAAGCATAAATATAAATCATACAAAAAGATTACTTCTATTAAAAGAAGGAAGGACTTCCTAAGGATTGTTCCTAAAAACTCTTAATTCACCATTCAAATGTGGTACCAATCAAATCAAATGAGGGGCTCTTACCTCAAAACATGCACAACTACTTTCATCACCTTCAGTCCTGTGCCATCCGTTTCCACATCGTCTAAGCTTTACTACATCTTTTGCAATCAAACAATAGTTTCCCTCAACTTCCTTCTGGTCACTACCTATGCTAGTCTTCTCGGTCAAAATGGTTGAGCCATTACAGATAACTTTTTCAAAAGCTATCAGTTCATCTGGGCAAGGCAGCTTGTCTCTTATCTGCCAGAGATTTTTGCTTGCATCTATCCATGAATCGGGCACGCAATAACCCTTGGCAGAACTAGTGGCAACATATCTATGAGAGCCTTCAAGGAACTCAGGATCACTAGATTTTGCTGTAGAACCTTGGTTCAGAATCTTGATCCATTCATCAGTTCTTGTTATTTTCAGACCATCCACAGAAAGGATAACATCATGAGAAGACAAGTATTCTGACATAGGAGATATTTCAGGGATCTCCACGACCTGTTCTGACAGACTTTTAGATTGTAAAGATTGCCAAGATTAAAATAATGTAAACACATAGAAGTAGACTTACCATGAGGCCATCACCACTCACATAGAGAGGATATAACATCACCGGAAGTAATAATGTTATCATCACACATGCTGTACAGAGCTATTAAACATGAAATCATAACAAAAAAAACTTTTATAAAACATCAAGATTATTGAGTAACAAGCTCAGTATACAAGTATATAACATTACACTTGAACTACGTCTAAGACTGCATTAGAACTATATTTGCATTTCTCTAACCAGGGTTTTTAACAGCATTTTCTAAACCAGAAATTGTTTCTATTTGGTTGTTATATACCTTGAGACCTGATTTGGGCTACAGGCCTACAGTCAAATAAATGAATAAAAAACTAGAAGGCAAAACCATGTCCTATATATTGACTTCAGTTTCTGATGTACTAACCAGACAAAATGCATCCCTTCAAATATACGTGTAGGCATGATACACACTGGTGTATGCCCTCAAGTGTATGTGTAGGCAAGATACTCAGTGGTGTACCCCCTCAATACCAACTATAACTCTTTTTACAGTGAACTTGTAGGGGAAGATTTCTAATTATTACATTAAGCAAAGATAAGGACATGCTTGTTTGGTTTAGAAGGTTAGTTTCCATTTTCCGAATATATCTCTGCTCACAATCTCACATTGTTTAAAATGAATATTCAGTGAGACCAATTGCATCTTATGCCAAACTGCACAAAGCATATTGTTCTTATTTCTTGTTTGTTGCCTTTATTATTGCAAGTAAACAAATAATTATCAGTTTTTCTTTTGATTTAAGCACTGTACTTCTGTATGAGGTAGCAAGAACCAAGAAGTACCCAAATATTGAAAGTAGCTGACAATGGATTACGAAATTATATGAAAATAAAAAGAGGACATAACCAATAAAATAGACTTACTCCTATCTTTTGGAAATAATCAATGCACAACAGAATCGCTTACCATAACATTATGCCAAATTCCTGCACAATAAATCCGGAGCATAGAAAAGAGAGGCAGATTTTGTAGTAGGTCATAGTTCAGAGCAACAAATGCCCCAGGAAAAATTACAGCGACAAATATGGCGACATACTCAATCTGTAGTCCCTCACTGTTGCAAATGTAGCAAATAATGTGTCAGAACAGGACACAAAAATAATTCATGAGCAAGCTGTTAGACATATAGTTGGTTTAGGCCATCGGCCTTAGTCTTGTGCATGCGCTGTCCATAGGCCCATGCCACATATATAGATCGATTTTATGTTAGGCAAGGTCGCAGGGATCTTTGTGGTTGGTGTTATTTCTTTAAACTAAAACCCTAGAGCAGCATTGCCTATATAATCCAGTAATCTATCCCTCATAATCAATCCACTATTTGCCACCTATTATCCTCGCTTACAGATGTTTTGAGTATGGAGTGAAAACAAAAGCACACAACATCTAAGAGACAAAAAAATAGACATGAGAAGGTAAGACATAAAGACCTTGCAGCTGCAATGGCATGTCCAAATTCATGAAAAGCAATAGACAGGATTGTTGACATTATGATGATTGCGGTGTCCACAATAGATATGTTGAGACCTGAAGTCTGCAATAAGCAGAAATGCATGGTGGGTTGATGATGTGAGAAGCTGAAAAGAGAAGTGTCAAATTCTACTCACCAGTAGGTTCTGTAACCAGGCACTAAGGGATCCACTCCTGAAATAACACACACCAATTGACTCCCACAGTAGCATCTAGAAAATCGAAAAGATCACAGTACATAAGATTTGTATACCTATGGGAAAAGTATAACCAAAGCATAGCATTGTCCACATTACAACGAAAGATATGGGACCTGCTAAATCCACCACACATTTATAAGGAATCGATAGAAAATGATAAGAGCAAGAACCCAAGAAACACAGAAATTGAAGATACATAACTACAGATTAATACTATTCAATGCAGTTACTGATAATGATATCAACTGGTGGACTCAATTTTTTTTTAAAAAAAAACTTAATATTATCATAATGCCTAGTAGAGCCCTAATCAATTATGTGAGGAAGCCACAAGATAAGACAAAAAGATTAAAAATAACTCCTTTGAAAATACTGAACCACCAAAAGGAAATCCCCATGCCTCAGATCATAAGGACTTAAATCATCAGAAGTACCGTTGTCAATTTTATACACTATAGTAAAATTAACTATTTAATAACTGGCCAC